TCTTCCCGGGTGAGACAGATAAGTCGCCGGCTTCTGGACGGCTGCTCACTGTGGCTTGAGGGCTGCTCACACTGGCTGCTGGCTACACACAGTAGCCCATGGCAACCCACTGCCAAAGGGGCTGCAGCCTACGCTGTTGCCAGCGACTCACGGCAGCCCAGCTCCAGGTTGAGCTGTTGTTCAGCATCTTAGCTGTGGAGGGCAGTGTCACTGGCCCTCATATGTGGGATCCGAACCGGGGCCCTCTGGCGTCCCAAGCCAGCTCTTAACCAACGCGCCACTCGGCCGGCCCACGGATAAGCCTTCTTTGCCCTCCTCTGATTACCTTGCAGGTAATCAGCTTGCCCACGAAGGGCACCCAGCAGCCATCATTCTGGCAGCCCCTGTGGCCTCCCACCCCACCCCCAGTCAAAGCCCACGCCCTGGAACACCCTGCCAGGATGGGGGAACTACAAGGCTGGTGCCTGATCGGCTCTCCCTGTGTCCCTGTGAGGGGAGCCCCCCAGCTGTGCTCTGGGTGGGCAGCCAGACTGGCCCTGGGGCCCACGCACCCAAGGGAGACCCTGCCTAAGGGGCTCTGGGTCTGGGGGACTGTCCCCTTTCATTGCAGGGCTCCCACAGGGCCACCGTGCCCCCAGGCTGACTGCCTCCAGATCTCCTGGGGGACCTGAGGAGCCGGTCCCCTTCTGAGACCGCAAGGGCCAGACCCTAGGCACCCCCTCAGGCCACTGGGTGGGGGGTGTGGGAGCGCACCCAGGTCTCAGAGCTCAGAGAAGACCCAGTCCTGGCCTTGGGAGACTGAGACCGGGCAGGACACCCATACTCCACATGGCCCAGCCAACGTGAGTGCCAGGGGACCAGTGGGGGGTGGCCTCTCAGTGGACTTGGCATCTCGGAAGGGGACTTTCAGCCAGGAGGCCAATACTGCCATTCTGCCCACTCCGCTTTACAGTGGAGGGTGCCCACAGGCCCCTGGAGGGGGTAATCCTCCAGTGACATGCTTGCCCCCCCCCCATTCCAGACAAGCTGGGATCTGTGACAAAGCCCAGAGTTGCGAGTGCCTCAGCCTCCTGTAACCCCTGGAGACTTGGGGTGTCATTCAAAGTTGGTGAGGTGGAAAGTGTCCCTGTGGTCCCAGCTGCCTGGCCACCACCATCACCACCAGCAGCAGCGGCCGCCGCACTCCCCGCTGCTCCTCAAACCTCAGCTCTTTCCATGTTGCAATGAGAACGGCGGGGCTCGAGCACCTTGCGGCATCGCTCTGGCCCGTCGGCGAATGTCTGTGGGGCGTAGGGATGGGGAGAGCACCTTGGGGCCTGGCCGCCCCCTCACCCCCACGTCCCGGTTCTGGGTGTGTGAGGGGAGGGGCAGCGGCCTTATCTGGCCCCGCAGGGTGCGGAGCCGCACAGGGAAACGGAAGTTCGGCAGGGTTGCCGGCCTTGCCCAAGAGCACCCAAGCAGCGCGGGGCCGGCCGCCTCCCCATCCCCAGCCCAGGAGGAAGCGCAGGTTTGGATGGGGGCGCAGATCCCGGGGTGGTCTGGGAGGGGGGCCTGCGGGCCCCAGAGCTGAGTTGGGGAGCCGGAGGCGGGAACCCCACGGGGGCCGCGGGCACCTTGCGGCATGGGGTGCAGGTGGGTGCGCGCGGACCCGGGCGTGGGGGGCGAGGGTCATCACTACCTGGGAGGTCGCAGGGCCCGGCCGCGCTTGGCAGACAGGGCGCACCGAGGGGGAGGCGGAAGGCGGCTGAGCGCCTGGCGGCCGGACCGCGGACGCGGCGGGCACGGGGCCGGCCGGGCGAGAAGCCACGTCCCCGGGCTGTGGTCCGCGAGCGGGCCCCTCCGCCCGCCGGAGAACCGGGGACGCGCCGTCGGGGAGCACAGGGGGCGCCCCTCCCACGGCGGCGCGGGGTCCAGGCGGGGCGGCGGGGGCGGTGCCAGCGGCCGTGACGTGCGCGGGGGACGTGCCGCGCGAGCGACCGGAGCGCAGAGTCGCCCCCGGCGCGGGCCCAGCAGCCAGGCGGGCAGAGACGGGCACAGGCGCGCCGGGACCCTCCGACCCGCCCGAGCGCTGCGTCCGCGCTTTCGCTCGCCGTGCCCCGTCCCCTCCCGGTCCGGGGATGCCCGGGCACCGACGAGCCCCGCGCCTCCCGCGCTGGGGGGCTCCGGGGAGCCGGCCGCGCCCCCTCCGCGTCCTCGGACCCGGGCCGCCTGATCCCGCCGCCTCCTGCGGGGCCCAGCCCGGGCGCCCCTCCGTCGGGCGGCCCTCGGGGGCTGGGCTCGGGCTGGGAGGCGGCTGCGCCTGGCGGCCCGGGCTGGTCCCGGGTATAAATAGCTCGGTCCGCAGCGGCCGGGCGCGCGGGCTATATTTGGTGGGGCCCCCAACCCGAGGCAGCGGGGAGCACATGTGCCCGCGGGAGGTTCTCTCCCTTCCCTCCTCCCCCTTCTCGCCGCCGCCCTAAACGCTCCCCAACCCACACCCGCCCTCGGGCGACGGCTTTCAGCCCAGACTCGAGGAATCGGTCTGGGCTCCCGGGGTTCGCCTCGCCCCGTCCCGGCCCTCAGCCGGTGGGAAGACCAGGCAGGGTCTCAGGGGTCTCAGTTTATTTATCTGAAAAATAGGTTGACAGTGCACCTCGCTGGATGCTGGGCCGAGCTGTATAAATAGAAGGGGAGCAGTTAGTCAGGTCATGGCCGCTGGGGGTGCCTGGAGTCTGAGTGAGGGACAAAGGGGCGCCCCGGAGGGCAGAGTGCGTCTCTGCCCCAGAGCACTGAGCGGCGCGTCCCGAGGAGCCTGGGCTGACAGGGTCACTCCGTATGGTGACCATGGCCAGGCTGGGTGGTCTGAGGGGCATCAGATGGCAGCCAGACCCTCCCCTATACAACCCAGGACCGAGGGGCTTGTCCAAAGCCAAGAGCAGAGGTGGATGCTGTGTGTGTGTGTGGGGTTCCAGAGACCCCCCCCCCAGCCTCATGACCAAGGCCCAAGGGTCTGCTGGGGTCCTGTGGGTGCTGGGCAGGAGGACAGACGCAGAGCTGTGGGGGTTGGACTGGGTTTCTTGGGGCAGGGGTTGTTGTCGTTCCCTCGGGAGGTCTGCCCAGGGGGTCTCCGGGCACCGGTGGCAGTGCCCAGGCGGCGTGGAGCCTTCCTGCCCAGCAGTCTGTGGTGTGGACAGAGCCTGGGGTGGGCACTGGGAGGCCTGGGCCCAAGGCAGGCTCTGCAGTGACCCCATGTGACCCCGGGCAGGGCCTGGCACCCAGGGGGCGACCTGGTTCTCCCTGACTCCAGCTGGACACCAGGAGGGGTTGTGCTCCCCAGGGCAGTGGCCGGGAGTGTGTGTGGAGGGACCCGTGGGCTCCCACTCCCTGGCCCCGGGGCTGGTCCTTCCGCGTGGTGGTGAGTGGAGAAGACGCCACGCAGAGCCACGGACCCATCAGCGCGCCTCCGGGTAAGGCCTGGGCACCCGCGCGGCCGCGCTGGGCTGGGGAGGCGCGGGCGGGGTCCGGGCTCCTCACACAGCTGCCTCCGCGCCCGCAGACCTCCAGGCCTCGGTCCCCATCTGTGAAATGGGCCGTTAGAAGCCATCCCGGAGACCCGGGGTTGAGGCCCTGCCGAGGGACACGAAGCCGCCCCGCCCTGGGGGAGCCGCGGGGTTCTGTGTGGCTCGGGTGTTCGCGGACCCCGCGGGCCCGCATGTGGGCCGCGCGCGCCGGCCAATACGGTAGCGGACGGGGAGGGCGCCTACTCCAGGCAATACGGCGGCTCCTCCCTTGGCGCGGTCACGTCCCCCACGTCCCTCAGCCAGGCGAGCGGCCGCCTGCCGACCGGGGCGGGGCCCACAGAGCATCCTCCCTTCCCACCCCCTTCCCCGTCTCTACCCAGGTGGGGCCCGCCCGGCCCGGCAGGGGTCGCCCGACCCCCACCTGCCCGCACTGGACCCCACTCGGTGTTGGTGGGGGGGGGGCCGTCCTGGCAGGTGGGGCTCGCTGGGGCAGAGACCCCCTCTCAGCCTTCACCTTAGGGCACTGACTTCAGGGCGGGGGCTGCAGGCAGTTGAAGAATAGGACCAGGTGGCCACGTGGACGGGCCGGAGGGGCACTCCCGGGAGGGGCAGGGTCCAGGCAGGAAGGGGAGGGGACAGGGATGGGAGGTGGCTTTGGGTCTGCTCCCGGGGGGGGGGCCCTCACTGACCTCCGAGCCTTCTAGAGGAGGGTGCTCTGACAGGGTCACCATCCCGTGGCCTCCTTGTCACAATGGGGGATGGTGTTGGAGGGGGAAATGACTCAGGACCAGGGGCTGGCCAGGGTGCAGTGTCCACTCCGGCCAATGAGGCCAGTGTTCCCTCCCCACCGGCCCTGCGGGCAGAGGTGAGAGCACCCTAGCGCTTGCAGGAGCTCCAGGCATGTGCCGGGGGGCTGTGTGGTCAGCCGAAGTAGGGTGGAGGGCCCAGGCCAGGCTTGGCAGGCCTGGGGCAGGCCCTGGCCCAGTGCCCACCACCCACCTCCCCAGAGAAAGCCTCAGGCAGTTTCCTCCCGTCACAGCTCCGCACACAGGTCGGGGTGGGCATCGGGGGTCCCGCGCCGAGCCTGGGCAGGCGACAGTGTCCCAGACCTGCTAGTTACCTGTCTGCACAAGGGGCAGTGAGGGAAGGAAGGGGCGCATCCCCTCCCCTGGGGACACGCACTGCCCTGCGCACAGAAGCCTCTCCCCTGGCGGCCACCCCCACTGGCTTCAGGGGCCTTGGGGCTGGCTGTTTCCCTGAGTCCAGGAAGGAACATAGTCGCCCCTTTCCTGCCCCGCTGGCCAGAGCTGCTCTCCAAGGCTGGGAGCTGCAGCTAGATAACGGGCCAGCCTCCTGTGGCAGGAACCCTTAACCACTGCGACTGGCTGCAGGCTTTGGGGCCAGGGGTCAACGCACTGGACCAGGGGACATGGCCTGCCCTGGGGGCTGACTGGCTAGACACAGGACCCAAGGTGGGTGAGGGGGCTATGGCAGCGAGTGGGCCTGCAGCAGGAGGGGGTCCCCATAGGTGGATGAAGCCATAGGATGTGGGCTGGGGGTAAGGTGGAGACGCAGCACGAACGGAGGGGGTGGGGCTGGGCACTGTGACACCAAGATGGACTTCAAAGCCCAGGAGTGTAGGCGGAGAAGGGGGCACTGGGGGAAGGAGTGACGAGAAGGCTGCAGCCTGACCTGGCAGGAGGCCAGGCCCAGAACACGGGGGTGGGTAGGGCTGGGATGGCCAGTGGGCCCCGAGGGAGCGGCCTGCAGGGGCCCGCCTTGGGAGGGCGCCACGGATCCTGCTGAACGGGTCACTCCAGGGGAACCCCTACACATGCCTCCTCCGGCCTTCTGCTGCTCAGCTGCCAGCTGCCCAGGGGCGTGGGACCTGCCTGACCCAGAAGCGGAGACACAAACCCCACCTGGGAGATCAGCTTTCTAAGGCCCAGAGGCCGGGTTATTTCTGGGCTGGGGACATGGTTCACATGCTTCCCCAGGAGGGTAAATGTCATAAAAGGCCAGCCGGCCAGGCCACCATGCACCCACTGATATGCTGGTGGTGCCTCCCTGCACAGGGCAGTGCGTGTCCCCGACGGCCCCCAGGGGCTGCCTCTCCCACCCTGGGTCCAGGCTGGGCAGCAGCAGGGTTTTCCTTGAAGCATCAGCCAGCCGGTGCCTCTGCCGGCCCTCCCCCGCCCCCAAGGTGGGCTGGGTTGAGGCCATTTATCTCTTGGAGGCCTGGCCCCTTGTCTGCCATCCCATACATGGGCAGAGCCCTGCTGGGCAGAATCCCTTTGCCCCAAGCCTTGAGCCCCTCCGCCACACCCTCCCCTGCTTGCCCACAGCCCCTACATTTGCAAATCAAAACCTCACTTTGAGGACTGGCTGGTGTGAGGAATGGGGCGGGGGCGGGGATGTCAGTGCAGCCGGGAGAAGTGTCTGAAGAGCCGCTTGGCCGGCAGGGGTGGGCAGGAGGGAAGCCATGCTTGACGTTGATCCAGGCACTGAGGGCCGGCCCCGCCCAGGTGAGCCTCACACAGGTCCCGGAACATGCTGTCCCCAACTGGCCCGTGGGCCTGGCACCGACGCCTCTGCCTCTTTACCCTTCTAGATGCTAGTTCAGGAGACGCCCCATGGCTCACAGGCGGCTGGTGTCTGTCTCCTGAGGACCAGGGAGGGCCCAGCCCGAGCGGGCAGCGGACGGAGACGAAAACAGGGCCTCCAAGGTTGGAGAGCCCGTGATCCCCCTGGTGACAGCATGCCAGGTGTGGTGGGTACAGCCGGGCAGACCGTTTTGCTGTGTGACCCTGGGTAGAGTTGGGCTATTCCTAATTGTTGGTTCCAGACACACTCCCCTCCGTGGCCTCTGCACGGCCCACCTGATTTATTTACAAAGTGCAATAAGTGGAAGGGCACAGCCCAAATGGGCAGGATCCTGAGGACAAGCAGCCCTTCAGCCCCCATGACCATGACGTGTCCTGCGTCCTGGGTCTGGGGTGCCCATGCTTTCTGCCTGAACTAGTGTCACTGCACCACAATGCATTCCTACAATGTACATATTTTCTAGTTTTTTTTCTTTCAAGTTACCCTGCTCTGTGCCTCAGAGACCTGTTAAATGTGAGGCTGTTGTGGGTCGGGAGAGTGGCCGCCCCGTGCTCCCCCAGTGTGTTTGGCTGCAGGATCAATTCACCCGTCCCGCCCTGGCTCAGGCACCATGCTGCAGTCGGAGGCAAGGTTCTGGAGAACCCAGGGCTGCGCCACAGAGTCCGGTCCCTGGTTCCCTGTGTGCCTCAGAAGCAAAGTGGGCCACCCAGGGGGGTGTGCCAGGTCACAGGTCTGTGGACGCGTTAGCAGGATGGGGCTCCTGTGGCTGGGGCACCCTGTGCACCTCTCGACTGTGTCCCCCAGATGGCTGCACAGCCCTTGGCTGCAGAAATGGCTTAAGTCTCGGCGCTCTCAGAGCCTTCAGGGCCCAGAGCAGTGGGCGGGGCCTGAGGGTGCTGGGGTCTGGCTGCCCTGTGAGACCCTCTCCTGGGTTCCCAGAAGCAGCACGTTGTGTCCCTATCCAGGCTGGAACAACACAGGCCCAGCTTGGCGGGGGGGGCGTTCTGCTCCAGGGGGCTGTCTTGTCATCACCCTGACCGCTAGCTGGCCATCCAATGGGACGCAGATTTCTCACATTCCTTCGACCCCCACACTGAACCTGTGCTCCCTTGGTCCAGGTACAGACCTTGTCCTCACTGGAGTCCGGTCCTGTCCCCAGTTCCCTGTGTGCCTCAGATGCAGAAGTGGGCCACTCAAGGGGCTGTGCCAGGTCACAGGGGGCTCTGAGGAAAGGCGGGGGCTGACAGGAAGGGGCGTCAGGAAGTGCTTGGGTGGCGTGGGTGCAGTGCTCACACTGCGGGACTGGCAGACATGACACATCAGGGTCTTTCCCCAGAGCTGATTCACTGCACACTGCCGGTGGGGACAGGCCTGTGCTTCAGCGGCCAGCGGCATGGGCTGGACTGAACACAGCCCAGGTCTCGGGACTGTCTGAGTCCCCTCGGAACAGCTTCTGTCTGGTGAGGTGGGGGGACAAGGCCACTGGGCTGATGGGGATTACGGGATTTCTGAGAGGGACTGGGATGAAGATGGGAGGGGAGTCCCCAGCTGGAAAGCTGGGTCTGGGCTGCTGCAGGGTGTGGGGGTGGCCAGCCCCCTCCTGGCCTTGGCAGCCTGGGGGCCGCAAGAGTTTGCTCCAGTGGGCTGGATGGAAGCCCGTCCCTGCCCACCCTTCCCTGGCCAGAGCGGGTCAAAGTCCATCGGCAGGTGTGCCTTCCACCTGGGCTCAGCCTCTGCGCTGGCCGTGGCTCCCCTTCCTTGATTTGCATGGAGGCCCCTGGCTCCTCACAGAAGAGCTGCAGCCTGTGGGTGGGGGCGACAAGGGGGGTCCTCCTGCGTGCGCAGGACCCCCACCTTCCCCACCTGCCTCCTGGGTGGTAGTGCTGTCCGCCTGACAGCGAGGTCCCCTCAACGGCAGTGCCAGCTGCCCCCGCAAACCCCCTCCTTGAGGCTTCTGGGCACAGGACACAGCAGCTGGGGTCTGCCCTCTTCAGGAGGTAACCGAGACCTGGCTGAGCTCAAAAGTGCCCTTTAGAGCCAGCTGTGTGGGAGCCACCCGGCCAGATGGAGGAGGGGCCACAGCCGTTGGTCACCCCAAACCCTCCTGCTGTGCCCAAGCACAGGTGACACAGGTGAGGGCCAGAGGCCAGCTGAGAGCATCAGGCAAGCTCAGAGCTGAGCTCCCGCTGAAGGCTGAGGGCTGAGGGCTGAAGCCTGAGAGGAGGGTGCCCGGCCTGTGGCCAGACCGCAGGGGTGTGTCTCCACACTGCTGGGCTGTGGCTGGGATGACCAGCTGACAGCCCAGTGATCCTGGCTGCTTCTTTGTCAGGGACGAGGAACCAGCACTCCTGGCCATGGGAGGGGCCGTGGTGGACGAAGGCCCGACAGGCGTCAAGGCCCCAGACGGGGGCTGGGGCTGGGCCGTCCTGCTGGGCTGCTTTGTCATCACCGGCTTCTCCTACGCCTTCCCCAAGGCGGTCAGCGTCTTCTTCAAGGAGCTCATGCGTGAGTTTGGGATTGGCTACAGCGACACGGCCTGGATCTCGTCCATCCTGCTGGCCATGCTGTACGGGACAGGTGAGGGGCCGTCTCCCAGGGTCTGTCAGGCCCGTCTCCACGGCCTTGTTTGCACAGCCATGTTTGCACAGCCGCGCAGTCCCCGAGCACGAGGCCCGGCCCTCCTGTATGTGCAGACGGCTAACACGGGCTCCTCTCGCTGTGAACCGCGCTTTGCTTGGGGGCTGCCTGTGGCCACACTGGGCAGTGGGTGCTCTTCGTGTCTGCTGAGCGGGGGACGTCTGCCTGGGCGGCTCGGGGAGGCTCAAGCCCACACTATTTGGCCTGTCCCCTCAGGCCCGCTCTGCAGCGTGTGTGTGAACCGCTTTGGCTGCCGGCCAGTCATGCTGGTGGGTGGCCTCCTGGCGTCCCTGGGCATGGTGGCTGCATCCTTCTGCCGGAGTGTCATCCAGCTCTACCTCACCACTGGGGTCCTTACTGGTGAGTGGGGATTTCCAGCTGCGGGGCAGGCGGGCAGGCCGTGGCGTGTCTGCTCAGGGTGACCTAGAATGGGGCGGTGGGTCCCCCGTCACCCCCCCCCCCCGGGTGCCCGCCTGCTCCTCGTTCCCTGTGTGTCCTGGGCGTGTCAGCGGGTGACAGGGTCTGCTCACATCAACACCCCCACGCGCAGAAGCCTATGCCTGGGACAAGGGGGCAAGGCCGCTCACCCGCCCCTGCCCCTCCCCCAGGCCTGGGACTGGCGCTCAACTTCCAGCCGTCACTCATCATGCTAAACCGCTACTTCAGCAAGCGACGCCCCATGGCCAACGGTCTGGCAGCGGCTGGCAGCCCTGTGTTTCTGTGCGCGCTGTCCCCGCTGGGGCAGCTGCTGCAGGACCAGTACGGCTGGCGGGGCGGCTTCCTCATCCTGGGCGGCCTGCTGCTCAACTGCTGTGTGTGCGCAGTGCTCATGAGGCCCCTGGAGGCGCCCGGGGCGGGGGCAGAGCAGGGGCCCCAGCGGCCGGCCCGGAGGCTGCTGGACCTGAGCGTCTTCAAGGACCGCGGCTTCGTTATCTATGCGGCAGCCGCCTCCGTCATGGTGCTGGGGCTGTTCGTGCCGCCGGTGTTCGTGGTGAGCTACGCCAAGGACCTGGGCGTGCCGGACGCGCGGGCTGCCTTCCTGCTCACCGTGCTGGGCTTCGTGGACATCTTCGCCCGGCCAGCCGCCGGCTTCGTCACGGGGCTCCCCAAGGTGCGGCCCTACTCCGTCTACCTGTTCAGCTTCGCCATGTTCTTCAACGGCATCACCGACCTCACGGGCTCCACGGCGGGCGACTACGGCGGCCTGGTGGTCTTTTGCATCTTCTTCGGCATCTCGTACGGCATGGTGGGGGCCCTGCAGTTCGAGGTGCTCATGGCCGTTGTGGGCACCCCCAAGTTCTCCAGTGCCATCGGCCTTGTGCTACTGCTGGAGGCTATCGCTGTGCTCATCGGGCCCCCGTCGGGAGGTGAGCCCGCCCTGCCCATGGAGGTGCTCACTACGGGAGGGCTCTTAGAGGAGGACCCCTGTCCGGTCTAGCCGGGCCACCATGCCCTGCACTCAGCCAGCAGCTGTGAGGAAGGAATGACGACGGCTCGGTTGGCTGTGGGAGAGGCGGGCGGCCCGGGGCCAAAGGCAGGGACACACCCAAATCGTGGGGGCGGTGCTGCTGCAGCCCCGACACCAGGGGGATTCAGTGGGTGCCTCAGTCCACCGGCTGACGCTGTCCCCTTGCAGGCAAACTCCTGGACGCGACGCATGTCTACCAGTACGTGTTCATCCTGGCAGGGACCCAGGTGCTGGCCGCATCCCTGGTGCTGGTGCTGGGCAACTACTTCTGCATTGGGAGGAGGCCTGCAGCGGCCACGGAGGTGGCCAAGCACCACCAGCCCCCTGAGAACGGCAGGGCGGACTCGAGGGAGGTGGAGCGGTTCCTGAAGGCAGAGCCTGAGAAAAACGGGGAGGTGGCTCACACCCCGGAAACGAGCGTCTGAGCCGGAGCCCGTGGGGCCCATTCATTTCACACAGGACTGGCTTGGGCAGCGAAGCGTCGCCTGAACAGTGTTTGTCAGGGGAGATGGCGGGTGAACCGTGTCGTTCCAAAGCGGATCTGTGGGGAAGCCAAGCCGAGGTCGCCCGCCGTCTGCACCAGCGTCCAGCCTGCTGACCCCAGAGCAGCCGGTGCCCAGCACTGGGCTTAAGGACCTAGAAACCCACGCTCGGAGACAACACGACTTTAATCAGAGGGTGGGGCCGTCCCTGCCCCGTCTGCACCCTGGCACCCCAGCCCGGCCTGAGTGTGTGGGGACAAAACTCCCTTCCTGCACCTGTGGGAGGTCTGGAATAAAGCTTGTGTGGGAGGAGTTGGCTGTTGAACACACAGTGGTCCACTTTCTCAACAAGCCACGTGGGGGTGTCCTTGTCAGCGTGTCAGCTTCCTACATGCTGTTGGTTCTGGGCCCGGCCACGCTGGACCCTGACGGCTCGGTGCCGTCACGCGGGGCCTTGGCAGCCGGTGCCCCTACGAGGTGTGTGCACTTGAGCTGAGACATGTGTGGTGTTGGTTCACTGGTGTGTGTGTTTAAAGAAAATGATCTTCCTGCCTTCCATTTATTCACTCCTCAGCTGGCCGAGAGTGGCCCTAGGCCGTCAGCGCCCGGGGCCGGAATTTGCTCCCCGTTCACCTTGTCCAGCCCTGCCGGCCTCACCCCAGGACCTCACACCCACCTGCCCTCGTGGCCAGCGCGGCCTGCGTGGCTGGGAGCGCGATCAGAGGCCGCTGGGGCCGCCTCAGTACGTGGTGCGTCGAGGGCGCTGGGGACGGTAGCGGGCGCCCTGGCGGGCCGAGTGCAGCCGGAGAGACGCCATGTCCCTGCTCCTCTGCAATGAAAAGCAAGCGAGCACTCACATCGGGCTGGGGCCGCTGCCCACTCCTGCTCAGCCTGGGAGCTCTGTGCAAGAGCCCCTGCAGTCCCACAGCTCTGGGACCCTACCTGTCACCCATTCTGGTCCTTCTGTCCCCTCTGCCAGGGGCTGGGCTGGGCTGGGCGGTGCCGGCAGCTGCAGGGTCCAGGCAGAGGCCTGCATGTGCTGACCCACCTGTGCCTGGTGGGCCAGGCAGGGCCCCTGGGCAAAGCTGAGGCTGCGGCAGACCTTTGCTCCCTGCAGAGGTGGAGTGGGGCCCCTGCCCTCCCCAGCTTCCCAGGGTGTTCACACTTGCGTCCCCCTCAACCTGGCAGCCGCTCCAGGCACCTTTACCCCAAGCCTGCTGACTGGCCCGAGCACCCCCACGGTGTCTCCCTGAGCCGCCTCACCCCCTGCTGGCCAGGAGCAGCAGGAAATGGGTATCCCTACACCAGCGCCCAAAGGGACTGGCCCACATGAGGACTGGCAACCCCCAAAAGTCCTGCTCTGGTGACACTATTAAGCGACCCCAAGATGGTCAACGTGTCTGGATTGCCCCACTGGGGTCCATGCAGTCCAGGGCGGGGGAGAGCTCCAGGCGCTCCCTTGGCCACGGGAACGTGGCCCAGATGCTAGCAGCGGCGACACTGCTGGGCTAAGGCTGGACTAGAGGCTGACGCTCGGGGCCAGGGAGGGGGTGAGCAGACGGACTCGTCTGCCGCGTTTTCTGGTTCCAAGTGTTTATAGCTGTGCCCAGGACACAGAGAGGAAACTTCTTGTGCTCAGGAAGCTGTGGCCACCAAGGGCTCTAGAGGCGTCGAGGGGGGTTTGGAGGGTACGGACGGGGGCTGCCCCTCTCCCTCTAGATGTCCCCAATACCCAGCACCCTGTGAAGACACCCCCACCCCCGAGATGCAGACACTTGTGCTGAGCCATGCTCTGCAGAGGGCACGCACACATCACCCCAGTGAGATGCAGGGGACACACAAAGGATGCCCAGCACACGTGTGGCCCCTGACCTGCCTTCAGCCCCGCCACCTGACAATAAAACAGGAAGGTGGCTCAGGGCTGGTTCCATCACCACTGCAGCTGGGTGCCGGTGCCAGCAGACTGGGGTCCAAACCTAAGAGACGGGGCCAAGGAAGAGCCCAGTTTCCCAGAACCTCAGGGGCCATCAGGCACAGCCGGAATGGCAGGAAGGTGGGCCCAGGAGAAGACACAGCAAGTGGGCATGGGTGGGGCGTCACCTGGCCCCCATTCTCAGGGCGAAGAGCCAAAAAGCGGCCCAGGCACATGTAAGCAGCAGCTGGGTCCCCCGCACGAGCCCCTTTATGGCAGGTGGATGCCGGGGGAGGCACCTGTCAGCATGAGGCGGTGGATGGGACGAGGAGGTCGAGGGTTGCGGGCCGCCCTGGGCGGTGGGGGTGCAGGGGCCTGCCTTCCTGTTCAGTGACATCCTGAATTCTTGGGGGACGGGGCTCTTGGGTTTCAACAACTCAAGTGGGAGAGGGAAACCAAGATCGTGAACAGATGGACAAACAGACGGATGGGCGGATGCCACCTTTCCAGACAATATCTGTCTGCTGGTTGGAAGGGACGGTGCCCAGGGCCCACTTGGGAGTGGACACGTGGCAACCGTGTGTCCCTACCATGGGCAACAGGGACAGGTACCATGCCAGCGACTCCAAGGTGGCAGGGCATCGTTCGGGTGCTGACCAGGGGGTCACCTGGGTGGCATCCCCACCCAGTCTCACTCCGCCTGCCCCCAACCGACACACCACCAGGCTGGGAGAGCGACACCAACGCCCACCCAACATCAGTTTCCACGTGGTCCGTTTATCCACTGAACACTCTCCCCTGGTGAAATAAAGACCACAGGGTGGGGCAGGAAGAAAGGTACACGTCGTCATGAATTTATTACTTGACACGGTGTTAAGTACACAAATACAGTGGTCATACAAATGCGCAGGGCAGACTGGCCACCATCCCAGGCTGTACAGATACGCGGCTACGTTCCCACAGGTGGTGGGCACCAGCACTGTCCCCAGGCACTGCTGAGTGTGGGCTCAGGCCCAGCCCCCGTCCAAAAGGTTGCAGGCCTGGGTGTAGGCCAGAAGTGGCCGAGCCACCGCCAGCACTGCGCCAGTCAGGTACGGCCGTCCCACCTCCTGAGGGAGGAGTCTGCCTGCGGAAGGTGCTGGGCCACCACGCGAGCCCCACCTATCCAAGCCCCCCCTCTCCGGCCCCCCAGCCCTGCAGAGCAGCCACAGCCTGCATGTCGGCGTCCCCAGCCCAGCGTCCCATATCAGCACTCCTGTGCCGGGGCTTTGGGCGAAGAGAGACAGACCCGGCCACTTTCCAGGCCCCTAGCTGCCTACAACACACAGTTTGCAAACGACACTCCGCAGTGGGTGACAGGGCCACCTGTGACAGTACCCACGAATATACATATTGCACCTCATTTCCCCGAGACGGGGGCTCCTGTCTGCTGGCTGCCACCGTCACCAGGTGCCTCTGATGCCGCAAAACGAGAGGAGACAGCGGCTCAGGAAAGCCACGAGCCTGGCCGCTCAGTCTTTCCGGCGAGCCTCAGCGGGGCCCGCTCCTGGACCGCTGGGGTTCACTCCATGCCAACGAAGTCATGGCCACGCCTGACCACGCCTTCCTGGACCGTCAGGTCTCCGAGTCACTGCGTCTTGGCACTTCAGAGAAGATCCCTGGGCCCGCTGCCTTCCGGCATACCTGGCACCTATGTGGACGGCCACGGCCTTGGTTTTGAGGACACACACATTAACACACATTAAGGGCCAATCCTCGCTGCTGATATTTACAGTCTGTTCAGAAAATTTCCCAAACTCAAAGGCATTGAGGCCACCACCACCACCACCACCAAAATAACCATACATGACCCTGAGGGGCCTAGCCCAGCGACACACAGAAAGCCTCGGCTCCGAGTCTTCAGCGCCTGGCTTCCATCTCGCATCTGGGAAGATCGAATGGCTGCCGGCATTTCAGTCACGGTCGGGGGGTGACAGCCAAAACCGGGTGAATGAGGTCACAAGACACACAGCACACAGACACACACGTTACTTACACACGCGTATACACGTGACAATTTCTGAGAGAAAATCCCCTTTCCACAGTGGACCACACAACAAAACCAAACCAGGAAACAGGTGCCTGAGTTTCGCGTGTGCCGGCGCCCTGCCTCACTCCATCCTGCACAGAAAATTCCACGCCAGCGTCTGTCAGAGTTCTTTCAAGTCAACACCTTTTTGAAGACCGCAAAAACAGACGAGAAAGAAACAATAAAAAGATTTCTTTACACAGATTTAAGCCAATAATTTTTAGCAAAATGATACAAAACTGTCTGAACCAAGTAGGTCGGTGGTTACAGCAGACTCGTCGGGGAGCACGGGCGTGCCACCGCGGGAGGGAGGCTGCAAGGCTCCTGGCCGGAGTGGGTTCTCGGCAGCCGTCTCCCTCTGCTTCTCTTCCCAGCCCCGGGACAAGAGTTCACGCGGGAGGGCCTCAGTGGAGCCCCTGGCGGTGGCAGCGCTTGGAGTCTGTCCGTTTAGTCTGTTTTGTCTCCCCATGGGCGTTGCTGGGTGGGTGGCCTGGAGAACCCCCGGCGCTCTAGCCCGGGGGGCGTCACTAGTAAAGCCATGTAACAGAGTAGATCAGCCATGCATTCACTGTGTGCCCTTCACAGCAAAAAGGAGCGTTCTCATCGGTGCACGACAGACTGCAGACCACTGGACGCCACCCGACCGGGAATCTGTCGGAGCCAAAGCACAGGACAAGGTCAGTGTGCGGCCCTCCGGCCGGGGCCAGCCAGGCTCGGGCACAAAACACCAGGGATGGCGCCCTGGTAGAAGGGGACAGACACACCCAGCCCCCCGCTCTGGACTCCACGCCCCTAAGCCGCTCCAGGAGCTCCCTCTGCGGCCAGGGCATGTGCTCAGCAGGACAAGTGACAGGAAGACGGGGAAGAAGGAAGAGGCATGCAGGCGAGGAGGCCTGGCGGCCGCGGAGCCAACAAGCTTGTGAGCGACAGGAACAGAGTCTAAGCGGGAAGAGCTACTTGCTCCTGGTCCCTCTCCTGGAAAGTAACCTGGTGTTTTGAAAACAGGGACCAGGCCCCAAGAGGCACCAGGATGCCCCTCCGGAGGAAGACGTGACAAACGCTTCCCATCAAGACGTTTCCAAGAGCACCAGCACCAGCACGTTGGAACGGTAGCAGGCTGCGCACAGCGGCCCTGAGCCCTCGGCGGGAAGGAGCCGCCAAGCATCGCCCAGATGGGGGCACAGCTTGGCGCCCGGACATACACCAACGGCAGCTGGGCTGACGGTGATACAGACGACAGCCAGGGCGAGATGCTGCGCGGAGACCAAGTTCGAAAAGAAAAACAGACGAGGACAGAAATAAACGCGGAAGGAAGAGGAAAAGAGATGACAAAGCCAGGACGGCGGAGACCCCAGGGGTCTCCGCAGCAAAAGCTCCCGCCAAGCGCGGCCACTCAGCACGACACCCAGCCCCGCACTGCCGACCCGGAGCCGGGGCACTGGGGCCAGTGCAGGCGCACAGCCCCGGGACCCTGTCCCCCACGTGGGCTCTGACGCGCACAGTGGGCAGGTGCTGCGGTCACCTGTTCGGGGACTCTGCGTGCTGCTCGCCCCACAGCTGCTCTGGAATCCACATGGGGTGAGGACTGGGCGGGCCTCTCTCTACTGGCAGCAGCGGCTGGCATGCAAGCCCAAGCCCATCTGTGGCTCCCAGGGGGCGAGGGGTGAGACCCGCCCGCGAGCCCCGCCCTGAGCACTCACCCAGTGCCGCCTTCCGCCGGGGCGGGACGGGCCGTGCAGCTACTTGCCGTGGTGGTCGAAAGGGATGCTATTCTGAGGTGGGAGAAGACAGCGGTCGGTGAGGGCTCCCTGGGGCCAGGACGGAGGGGGCGTCTTGTTTTGGCCAGGTCCACACCATGGCCAGGCGCCTCGGGAGGACCCCAGCCTCACTTCTGGCACCCTGAACACGAGTGACTGCACCCGCTCCCCCAGGATGATGTGACCAAGGCCGACGAGGGCCTGGGCCAGCTGATACTCCCACCTGAGAGAACCCGATACCCAGAGCAGCCTGTGCCCAGCAGGTGGAGGATGCCACCTGCCTGTGACACACCGACTGGACGCATTTCCTCACCGACACAAGGAAGACGACGATGGGACCTTACTGGGAGGACATGTGTTAAAAACAATAAGTCAACACAAACGATGCCCCGGAACCAGCGTGCCACCTTCCCAGCACTGCTGGGCGGGGAGGCCCTTTCTTGTCACAAAGATGATGACACCACAAACAGGCTCGCCCGCCAGGTGCCCTTCAGGCTCCGCATTTTTCTGGCCGAAGGACCCAGACTCGCACTCTGGAGTCCAGAAGGCAGGGCCCTAAGTCTCCCCGGGGGCTGCTCTAGCACAAGCTGCCCCTGAGACAGAGGGGAGGACAAGGAAGGGAGGCCCCCACCCTGCAGAGTCTGAGCACACGAGCGCCATGGGGTCCGGACAAGGGACACAGGAGTCGACCCCTGGCCCAGCTGGAGAGGGTCGGCAGGTTCTCACACAGGCTGGCGGTGCTGAGCACCCTTGTGCTCAAGTTGAAGCACCCCCAGGGGCTGGCGTCTGCCCAGGATGCCGCGTCCCCTCGAGGGCCCAGAGAGGTGCCCACAGAGGAAGTGGGCAACCAGCGCCCGGCCAGGGTCTATGTGCACACACTGCCCATAGCTCCCGCTCGTCCTGGACACTTGCGATGCTGTTTCTATGTCACCTGACTTTCTTTGTGGAGAGCAAGTGTGAATGGAGACTACAGAATCATAGAAGCTAGAGGGACGCATCCTCTGTCACTTCCAAGCCACCAGGGCGGACGCTGGGGGCAGCCCCTCGGCTGAGTCCCAGAAGGAACCCTGTGCTGTCCCACAGGCCCTGCTCACGGCCTTGGAGGGCGGAGGCCTGTCCAAGCCTAAGAAAGCACGCCCACGGTGACCAGGAAAACCCAAAGGACACCCCCCAGGGGCCATGTCTGCAACGTGAAAAAGATCCTGGGAAAATCTGCAGGGTGACCAGGAACAAAAGCTATGGTGCTGCATTTCTGGGAGGGGAAACCCCCCAAATCGAACCTCTTTGAACCCCCTCGCCCCCCATGTCTGGGCCACACTCTCTCCCTTCCTACAGAGAGAAGGCGTGAGAACCAGGACGTAGGATTCCAGGGCATAAGCTCACCTCAGCTGGCTGAGGCCTCCCAGGAAGGCGTCCCCAGAGGCCCGGCCGGCACTCGGGCCTGTAGCTCCCCGCACCCACAGGGCCTTCCGCCTCTCGTCTCCCCAACGACCCAAACCCAGCAGATGAAAGCTCGACCTGCCCCTTCCTTAGTCTATGCTGGCTTAGCCCGACTTGCGGCATCAAGTCCGGAAAAGCCCCCGCTGTCCACAGGCCCCGGTCATGCCTGAGGAGTCCGGGGCCACAGAGCCGGCCGCACGCCCAAGCGCATGCGGACACTGCCCAGAACCTGCTCCCAGCGGCTAGCTCATGGCTCCCAGGGCTTGTGGGAAGAGCCCCGGGAAGCTCTGTGTCCGTGGTGACGGAGGAGGGGTGGGGCTGGGGGCCACAGAGGCCCCATCTCGTTACCCTGAAGACCCCTCGAGCCCCACAATTCAGTCTCCCTGGAGTAAGTTAAGATACAAAACGAGCCATCGCTAGCAGAATCACCAGTGAAGGGAAGCGCTGAGTGGAAGGCAAGCGGCCGCCAGGCACACTGGCTCCAGGCTGTCCTCACAGGCCGTGCGGCCTCACACACACGCTCGGCCCACCCGCTCCCCAGCAACGACGCCAGCACTTAGCAGGGCCCGGCCCCAGGACGGCATCATGGCGACCAGCCCGGGGGGCCTGGGCTTCCCCCCAGGACACACTTGGGACGCTTGCCGAAGCGGGAGAAACGGCCTCGTTCAGGCGGGTTCCTGGCCACTAAGTGCCCCTGCCATGGGAGAGGACCCTGAAAGCCGCCTGAGCAGACGGAGCTGTGTTGAGACCAGCGCACAAAGGCGAGAGAGCAGGAGTGACAAGAGCGCAAGTGGGGACAGGATGAGGGTGGAGGGAACCGGTGGGCAGGACGAGGGCACCAGGCCCCGTGTCAGGGAAGACAGGACGGGGGTATCAAGACGGGAACCCTCGCCCCAGGGCCTGTCAGCAGGTGTTGGCTCTCCAAGGCCTCTGTCCACACGACGTCACAGGGGCTGCCCGCAGTGCCACCCCTCCCCAGCACAGGCTCTCTGTGAGGAAGTGTCCCAGGCTGCGTGTGCCAGTGACAGACAAGCAGCGGTCTCCGTCTCCATCAGGATGGCCGAGCCCCCAAGGCCACCTGGGGACTGGGCACAGGAGCGAGCAGCCCCAGCCTGGCATGGCGGGGAGCCTGGGCTCACGCTGCTTTGCACCAAGGCTCTCAACCAAGGGGTGAACAGCAGCCAGGGAACAACAGCCCCCATGGGTTGAAACGCTCACAAATGGGGAAGGAAAGGGGCAGGAGGGAGGGGGCGGACGGAGGAGACCCCGACACCAGCCCACTCTGCCCATCTGTCGGAGCGGCCCCGTGGCAGGGGCACATACCTGCGAGGTGGACATGCGGGACGTGTCTTGCCGGCCCGTGAGGTCGGACGAGGACATGTTGACAGGGGCGCCACGGTGCAGCCGCATGCTCACTTTCCGCTCGCGCTCCACGCCGGACACGGGCCGCGGAGAGGTGTTAGCTGTAGAGGCAGCAGGTGGCGTTGAGGCCCAGCACGGCCCACGCCCACCGCAAGGGCTCCCTCCTTGGTGCCAAGCGGAACGGGCTGAGGGTTTCCAGGCCGGCCACAGGCAGGTGGTCCCCGGCCAGTGTCCAGCAGCCGGGACGCCAGCGCCCCAGTGGGCAGGCAGCCAGGCCTCTGCTCAGGATGAGCGTCTCATGGGGGAACGTGTGTCATAAGTACGAGAAGCCACAGACGTTCCCAAAGGCGCCGTCCCAGGTGGCTCCCTGGCCTGTCCACCCTCGGGAGTGACAACCACCGGGAGGGGGACGCACAGGCGTCACTACTCCCAGAGCTGGCTCTCTCCCCAAGGTCACAACAGCCCGAGTGGCCAGAGCCACCACCATGCAAATGGAACCCCCACTGCCTGCTAAGGGGGGATGTGGCCCAGGCTGGTGGCCGCAGGACTACTCACCAGTGTGTGAGGTAGGGGTGAGGGGCGTGGGGGGAGCCACTTCTTGTGCCCCCCTCAGCCGGCCTGAGGCAGTGGAGGGCAGGCCCCGGGTGGCTGGGTTTCGGGAATGCCTCAGTCGTTCCTCGCGGTCCCGGCGTTCGCGCTCCGCATCGTCAGCAGCCCGGCTGGCGCCCTAAGAAGGAAAAAGGACGAGACCAGAACTGAATGGGGTTCAGTGAAAAACAAACCGAGGTCCTTGGCTGTCTCCCCACCTAGAGAAAACACTAGGGCATTAGGGACAAGACCACCCAAGCCGCCATCCAAGCCAACGAGCCATTTCTCCCTCCAGGACAACGCAGAGCTTAGTGGACCACTCTGCAAGTGACGGAGCAAGGACCCCACTTGCCTCCACCCTCTTCCCAACACAGCAGAGGAAACCCTGCCCATCGACGAGGCAGCTGGGTGGCCCTCTTCTCTATCAACATTTGCACAGGGACAGGAAATCGGCTTGAGGTCAGGGGTTGGCCCCACATGGTGACAGTGGGGCGAGTCTGAGAAGGTCCAACTCCACGCGCTCCCCGACCTGGAGGCAAATGTCATGTTGGTGCACAGCCCCCGTGAGGAGGCCAGCAGCCAGGTCTGTCTTGGGAGGGATGCGTGGTGGTGGCCCTGGCCGTTACTCAGTAACAAGCCGCTGCTGGGGCACCGCACGTCAAGTGGTTCGGCTGCGGCTCCCGCACACGGAGGCTCACGCCAGACCCAAGAGCTGCCAGGTCAGCCTGCAAGCTGCGGCCACGGCCAAGTCCAGCCACATGCATCCATTTCTGATGCCTGGGGGTGGGGGTGGGGGGGGCTCCAGCGACACCATGCCTGTGACACTGTGGCACATTCATCATCAGGCCTTTTACAGAGAAGGTGTGCCAGCCCTGACGACAGGAATGTCAGCGGCTCTGGCAGGAGGCCCACCCACATGTCCACACTCTGTATGGCCAGTGCCAGGGCTGTCCTATGAAGACCCCCTGGGGGGCAGAGGCCATGTCTCGGTCTGGCCGGCTGTACCGGCTGGGCCCCACTCAGGGAGGCTGCAGCCTGGATGAGCCCCCTACACCTGCCAGGCCGGGAAAGGCTTCCTGTTTTGCACCCTCTGAAGGAGGCTCTGCTCCTCAGTCAGACTCTGTCACCCTGGAAAGGTTCCCATTTCTGGTTTAAGCTCATAACTAAACAGAACAAGTTTTTAATGAAAGAGGCAGTAGAAGCTGTAAAGCAACCGAGTTCTGGCGGTGGTGTCTGAAGGTTAATGAACAGAACCTACAGAGCCAACTCAGGCAGGATGGGTGGCCTGTTTTAATGGAACAAATTCAAGTTCAAGCTCCAAAGCCCCTCCCCAGCACTCGCGTGATTGTTCAGTAAACTGGGCATCAAAGCTAAGTGGGCATCAAAGCTAAGTCGATCTCATCACAGGCCCCAGTCAGACTGCACGTGCAGCGCCCACCCGAGCAGAGGCACGGGCTCGGCAGGCCCGGCTGGGTGGGAGGCAGGTCGGGCGGATCCTCCCCTCCTGCAAAACGAACACACGGGCACCCCACCGTCATGTCACAGACGGTCAAAAACCACAACGCTCAGGAGTGATGAGGATGACAATGACACCATCTGTGAAGTTAAGGATTCAAGCAGTTCTGCTTCCAGGCACACCGCGCCTGTGGATGTACTCGACTCACATGGTCCGCTGCCCACACCCCCCAGACCCCACTGGCCCCCGGGAGACCCCTTCCCCCATCGTCGTGCCTGCCGTTTGCTTTCCCTCGACGGGCACCTCGCTTCTCAGAACCTCTCACCTTCGGGGGGACCCCACAGTCACAGCCCTACAGAAACACCAGGCTCCCCAATACAGCAAACAGGCCTTCCAGAGCCCAAGCCTCATACAGCTCGCTCCTCACAAGACACGGCCGTGCACCAGCAGCGGCCTGGCGCTGATCCGTTGGTCCCCATCCTCACTGAGCCCCCAGAGCGGTGGTGGGCCACTTACAAATTTGAGCATGTTCCAATCAAACACGTAGTCATAGGAGAAGCCCTGGCGGTGAAACAAGTTCCTGAAGAGCTGTCTCAGATATGAGTAGTCTGGTTTATCGTCAAAACGCAAGGAACGGCAGAAATTCAGGTATGTGGCAAATTCAGCTGGAAAACGACAAAAAACGCAGCGCTCACTGCACTGCCCTGACTGGGAACCACCACTGTCTATGGACAGTACTGTCTGCCTCCACTGCCCCCACCCACTAGGGGTGACACGTGGAGTCTGCAGTACTGGTCACAGTGCGGCACCGCAGAGCAGTGATTCCACCTGGGGCACCCGTCTGAGGGGCAGTCCCTCAAAGCAAAGGGAAACTCCGAGCTACGGCTCCGGACGTGCTGAAGGACAGGCCACCTGCTCACTCCCACCTTCCTAAGCACGAGGGCCCACAAGGGGCCCCTGAGAGCCAGACTCCAGGGGGGCTTGCCTTGTCTGCCTCCCAACGTGCCCACCCCCCCACGCTCTGGGGAACCACACCAGGAAAGGAGGGGCTGCTGTCCCCGTCCCGCACGGCAGGACCCTCGAGGACACTCACAAGGGTAGCCCTTGCACAGCACCTCGATGGGGGTGGACATCTTCTTCTCACTGATCCTCTCGTACTTCTGTCTCTTGGTGGCGGCCTTCAGCCCCTGCCAGGGCAGAGAGCCCAGGTTGAAGTACATGAGCACGTACCCCAGTGACTCCAGGTCGTCCCTTCGAGATTGTTCTGGAAAGAGAACAGAAATGGGTCAAGGACGGCACATGTGTGCTTGCAGCCGCCAGCAGCCGCTTCCCGGGGAAATGAACCTGGGAAATCAGAGAAATACACTTGGATTCTTTTGTTTCACCAGGAGTTGCCTTGGATGCGATGTTAGGAAACGCCAACACCCAGAGCAGTGACAGCACTGTCACAGCTGTCAGACGCCTGTCACCTACCCGCCCCCACTTCGTCTCCCAGAGGACCATCTGCACAATCCCCAAAGCCGCCTTTGCGACAAAGCTTTGATGGCAGCCTCCCCCGAAACGTGCTGGCCACAACCAGATCCCTCGAGAGGCTGGCCTTTCCCCGAGCTGAGAGGGACGTGCCCAAGGCCGCCTCGGCCAGCACCCACAGCTCACCGATTCCGAGGTGCGTGTTGATGGAGGCGTACCGCGCGGTCCCCGTGAGGTTCTTGTTCTCGCGGTAGGGGATGTGCTGGTGGGTGCGGGCGTCCCGGTACTTCTTGGCGAGCCCGAAGTCGATGATGTACACCAGGTTGCCCTTCTTGCCCAGCCCCATGAGGAAGTTGTCGGGCTTCACGTCCCGGTGAATGAAGTTCTTAGAGTGGATGTACTCAATACGACTAATCTGTAGGCACAGCAGCACGGCCACGTTACCCCAGGAGGAGGTGCCTGGGGCTGCATGTTCAGTGCCCTCGGCCAGAGCAGTCCCTCAACATTCAGGAAGGGGTCCCGAACCGACCACCCCCACTCCCTCCCGCCACGGGCCTGGGCATTTCCCTCTCAATGGCTCTCCTACAGGTGAATGGGCAGTGGCCTGTAGTGACAGCCACCACGAGACACTGGTCTGCACCAAGAGTCCCCTCTGCAGTCCCATCTGGCAGGAGTCACCCCCGACCATGTGCAAGTACTGGGCTGTGCCCACGGTGGCTCTCCACACCCAGCCCGCCCTCTGGGTCATGATCGCGTGGCAAGGGCTGCTGAACGTCCATTTCCTCCCTGTGCACAACAGGCGTGCTGACAGAGAGCAGCCCATGTGCACGTCATCAGGCCACCGGGTCAGACCCATCGCTGCACAGAAACGTGCTCACCATTTGGTCGGCAAGCAGCAGGACAGTTTTGAGACTGAACTTCCTCGAGCAGAAGTTGAAGAGGTCTTCCAGGCTCGGCCCCAGCAGCTCCATCACCATCACGTTGTAGTCCCCCTCCGCCCCGCACCACCGGATGGTGGGGATGCCCACTGCAAGAGACCATGGGCATCAGCCAGGGCTGGGCTGGGCTCAGGAGGCCCCGAGACACACCCATACAGCACCAGACAGACGCTTCCTCTCTGACAATGGTCAGGGGGCAGCAGTCGGAAGTGACACAAGGTGAGAGCGTGAGGTGTGGGAGCAGGAAAACACAGGGCAGCGAAGGCTCGGCAGGGGAAGAGGGGCTTGGGCCGAACAAGCACCGTCCCCGCACACCACGCGCCCAGCGTCCCGATGACTGACATCTTCTGTTAGTGCAACATATCTATCACAATTCTGAACCAACACTGACACATTTTACTAATGAAAGCCTATTCAGTTCCTTAGTTTTCAACCTATTGTCCCTTTTCTACTCTAGGATCCCATGTGACATTTAATCCTCACATCTCCTCAGACTCCCCTGGGCTGTGATGTCTCATCTCAGACGCTCCTTATTGGGGTGACCTTGGCAGTTCTGAGGAATGCGGGACGGGGGATCTGGAGACTGTCCCTCTGTTGGGATTTGTCTGACGTGTCTCTCATGGTTAGTCTGGCCTCGTGGGCTTTGGGGAGGAAGACCCCGGAGGCAATGTGCCCTCTCATCATGTGACATCAGGGTCTGTGCTCCCAACATGACTCATGTGTGCTGACGTGTGACTGTGGTCATCTGGCGGAGGTGTTTGCCAGGCGTTTCCTCTATCCCGTGTCCTTTGGGAGGACGTCACTGTGGCCCCCACGCTTCAGGGGTGGGGGCTGTGCTCCCCCTCCCCGAGGGCAGAGCACTACACACATTACTTGGGATTCTTCTGCACGAGATGTGTCTCTTCTCCCAGCTTATCGATGCATCATTTTTATATCAGTTTGAACCCATGGATATCTACTTTATAATCCCATCTATACCCTGATACTACGTCACCTACTCTGTTGCTCAGTGTCCCAGCTATGGCCACGGGGGCCCTAACACACCCGTCATTACAGGTTGTTTGGGGAGCACTGCTGTGCTTTCTGCCACCACAGTCATGTACCACATAGCATTTTGGTCAGTGACAGGCCACATATAACATGTACGATGGTAGTCCCGTAGGTTACAATGGAGCCAAAGATTCCTATGGCCTAGTGACATCGTGGCTGGCATGACGTCGCAGCACGTGTGAGGATGCTGGTGTCAACAAACCTCCTGCGCTGCCACGTGTGCGAGTCCGCACATACGACTGTGCAGCACACGTTCCTCGATGATAAATGACAGTGATGCCGGCTCCCATATTTACGCTGCTGCACTGTCAGTGTTACCTGAGAGAGTGCTCTTTCCACTCTGACATGAAGTGGGCGGTGGGACAGCAGCCGTGTCACGCCGGCAGCAGCCTCATACCCCGCGTTCCCCGCGTCTCAAGGGCATCACTTCCTGTGCTTGTGTCATTTCATAAATCAGCGTAGGCTGAGCGCAGTGTTTATGAAATGCACGGCTGTGGGCAGCCGTGTCCTGGGCCGACACAGCCCCTCCTCACTCACTGACTCACAGAGCGATGCCCAGTCCTGCAGGCTCCATGGTGAGTGCCTCGCCCACCCAGGTGGACCATTCCTCATCTTTTATCAGGATTCTCACTGGACCTGTTCTATGTTTAGACATCTCTAGACGCACAGATCCTCACCCCTGGGATACAGTTGCCCACAGTGCTCAGTACAGTGATGTGCTGTACAGGCGGCGAGCCCAGGGGCACTGGGCTGTGCCCTCCAGCCCAGGTGTGCAGGAGGCGGCACCATCCAGGTGTGGACGTGCCCCTGACCTTCTCACAAGGACGGAATCGCCTAACGCCGCACTTCGCAGAAC